AAAACATGGAAAAACTATGCTTTAAATATTTTGCATATAATCTTTGAATAACTGCCAGAATAACTGCAGCCACAAAACTTCACAGGATACAGATAATTGGTTTGTTCAAGTGTCTTAAATTTATCTTAATACTTAAGTGTATCCGATGTTTTGATAGCATTATATATATATATATATATATATATATATATATATATATATGGATGTCCAGATCTGCAGAAAGACAGAAATACACAGAGAAAATAGGAGAGAGAAACTGAAATTAATAAAAATAAAGAAAGTTTTATCCTGTTATTTAGTAAGATATACTTCGCAGATAATTAACATTCGAGGGCCACTTTTCTTTTAAATTATGCTATTTATAAAATGAGGTTGCCGACAGTGTCTGTAAAAACAACGAAATTCCTCCTGCTACGACAAGATTAAAACGATTGAGGAGTCCGAATGTTTAAATTCAAGAACAAAACTTACTACCAGTCTTGGAAATCTTTCAGGCTCAGATTCAGAGACTAAAATATGGAAGGGAAAACCTATATAAACGAGAAGGACAATTAAAATTGTGAAGAGACGTTTTAATAACAAATAGAGAAGGTACTTAAATATTAAATTGAAAAAGAAAAAGACAAAACAAAGAATGAATAAGTAAATAATTTAAAAAATAGTAAATTTTAACTCATCCCAATTCAAAGGGTTTTTAAAAAATCTGTGTATAATTGATTTCCAACATTTTATGCATTTATGGAACCTTTTAGTATTTATGTATTTTGGCAAGAAATTTATGGAACTTTTTAGTATTTATGTATTTTGGAAACATATTTATGGAACTTTTTAGTATTTATGTATTTTGTAAACACATATCCACTTTAGATTGAATAATGTAATTCAGTTTGTAATCTTTTTATGATTAACAGAATTGACAGCACTTGATGAAGACTGGTGTTTACGAAGTCCGTAAAATTGCCTTAGTAACAATAAAAATGAGGAAAATATTCTGAGTAGAAATAAAATCTGATGGCAGAGAAAAAGATAAATGGCAAAGAAAACGGGGAAGAGAAACAAAAAGAAATGAAAGAAGATGAGGAATTATCATTTTTTTATATCCGGTATAGTCGGATGTTGGGCCTTCGAGACTTCTTCAGGACATATCTCATTGAAACATTTAATTAACCTATCTGGTTAGTAGATACTTCTTGTTGCGCTAACACTTGTTACAGGTGGATTAAATAGTTGGGTCGTGAATTTGGTGATATAATATTTGTGAGTTACATCCTTGACTCAGGCAGTGAGAAACAGGTTTCTGATCTCATGACGTTGAAACACCTGTATAATCACCGGTTAAGTAACATCGAGCCTGATCAGTACCTAGATAGTTGACCGCTTGGTAATATCAGATGCTGTACTCTCAGATTTGTGGCTTGGGTAATGGATAATGACTCAGATTTGCTATCGGAAAGCCAAGTTCCAATTTCAGCTGGGTATGGTATATGCACTTAAGCGCAGGTAACCTTTCTTCTTCCCCAAGCTATGGGTTAATTAGAAAGAATTTTATCACAAAAAACATTTTTATCTAAAAAAAATAAAGTAAAAGAAAGAATAATGAATAAACAGACATTGGGAAGAAATTATTTAGATTTCGGCCTTAAATAATCCATATATGCCTTAAATAATCAATAATATGCCGCTAAACAAAAACAATCATCCAGTTAAAAGAAACAGGGCGAGCAAGAACTGAGCAGAACTAAATAAAATCTAGATGAAATATCCCTAAATATGTTCAGTGCTCCGGGCACAATATACTCCATTAGATTAAATAAAATGTTCAGCTCATAATTCCAAGGGGATTACTGAGATAGAAAAGCACTTAATGAAGATTGAAGGCCATCACTGAAGAAACGTTGTGATAATAACAATAAAAATGAGAACAACATTCCGTCTAGAAACTGATCTCTAATAGATTTTGATGGCAAAATCAGATGAAAAAAATAAAAATAAACGGAAAACGTGAAGGGGAAATGAACTCGCGACTGTCTTAAAAAGCGTAAAAATCGGGCTTCAAAGGGAGATGGAGACGACAGAGGACTCGGTGAGGATCTGTGTCAAAGAACATGGAAGAAATAAGAAACTTTATTCAGTAATCATCATCATCATCATCATCATCATCATTAACATCATTATCATCATTATAATCTCTGTGGTTGGTCGGAACTCAATTCACAATCCGTTTCTACACTATTCGGTCCAGTATTGCTGTCACCAGACACCAAATGTCCAACTCTGTGTTCCAAGTCATAGTTTGTGGGAAAGTTAATTTTCGTGAGAAGACACTTCCAGAAGGGTGCCATAAGAGGAGATGACTTCCTTTTTCACTCGATGGCAGTGGCCCTCAAACTGTAGTCGTTTTTGCTTGAGCTTAAAAGAGATTGGTCTCAGTTCTTCGTAGAATGTATTAAGTGCTTTATGGTATCACCAACTTATGTTCTGGATAATTCTTAGTAGATTTGTATAGGCTCCATCCAGTCATCTTTCAAGACGAAGTTTCTGCTCCATACATTAGGATTGCTTCACTTGGTTTTCGAAAAGTTTGGACTTTTAAGGAGACTGGAACGTTCGAGTGCCTAATTTGCCAAGTTTGTTACACGGATTCTATGCAAGAGCTTTTCAGATATTGAAGCCTTTTGGCAAATCTATAGATA